CTTTTCTTTGTTTTCAACAATAATATCAATAGATAATTTGAAAAATACAACTATTTAATCAGATTTATTAATTAAAAAATTAAAATTTATAATAAATTAATAATTTTCTTTTTTAATAAAAATTTTATTAAGGAAATGAGAATAAGGATTACCAGAATACACTTTCAAATTCAATTATTCTGTTAATAATCTAAAAAAAATTTAATTTCCTCTAAATTCAACTTATCACATTATTAATCCTATAATTATCTAAAAAAAAAAGATATACACCATTAACAGCAATCCTATCAATTTAATACAAGTATAGCATTATATTTTTAGATAATTTAACTTTTAATATAAAAAGCTACCTTATCTAATTTAAACTCAAGTAATCATTATGTAAAATTAGTCTTAAATGAAATAGATTTATTGTTAATTATTTTACAATCATAGGTTTAAGACTAATGAGATTCTCATGATATTACTTTATAAATCCTAATAAAAATCTTTATTTTGATATCTTAAATTTTACTATTTCAAATAAATGAAGATTTATCTTTTCAAATTATATGCTAAATTTAAATATTCTTTTTATACTACATTTTTTAATAATTATTCATTAAATCTATTTCCCATTTAAAATTATATTCTTATGGTTTAAAAGAATTTTTTTAATTCCCTATTAATCTATCAATTTGAAATTGATTAAGAATCTAATAAAACAAAGAGTCATTTTAATTAAATAAATAGTTTAGAATAGAGTTAAGTTATTATATAAAAAAAAAAGAGTACACAATTTTCCACATATAAAATAGATATTCAATACTTTAGTTTATTGATTTGTTATTTATAACTACTCTACTAATAATTTTCACCAAATTATAAACTAATTAACAGTTTGTATTGATATTTTATTATAAAATTTTAATCAATTTATTGATTCAATAAATAAAATATTATTCTGTCCAATTTATAAAGTCTAGGTTAGTTTTCTGCATTATTAATAATTAAAATTTCACTTCAAACTGAAAAAATCAACTATGGATTGAATAAACAAAAAATACCCCTTAATGAATTTACTATTAAAACTAATTTTAATATCAAAATATTTTTTTATTTTTCCAAATAAATCTCATCTTTTTTGGAAAAGTATCCAGTATCTTCTTTTGCCGAACTAAATACCTTCTGGAACTATAATTTTTCCAAGTCTGATGATAAAGGTATTTAGATGTTTAAAGTGCTTAATTGGCTCGCTGAGGCCAACGGTAAGTTTTATTTTATAGAAAAGAGCCAACCTATTTAAGATATCTTAATATTTTTCAATTAATTAAACTAAAATAAAAATTCGGCTTGGAATTTGTAAGCTCTACTCACTCAATTCATTTAGAAGAGGAAACTGATTGAGTTTTATTTTCGTTCTGAGGAATATCTTTATTTTTAAGTTCCGACCACCCTTTTACTAAAGTAATTAGGACTTACAAGATTTAAATTTGTATGTTATGGATAGAAGAAAATTATTTTAGAAAATAAAAAATTTAGAATCTTTTCTAGAAAAGAAAAAATATCCTAGAGAAAATAATAGTCAGATGTTTTGATAAATTCTGATATTTTGGATTTGAAAAGTAGGTAATTTTTAATTAATATTATAATTGGTAAGTTCTTTTCCTTGAAAAAATATTTGTTTGTTTTCTTTTTTTCTTATTTATGCTTTAAATTCTCCTAATAAATCCAGAATTCTTTAAACCATCAAAATAAGTTTTTTAAATTGAATTTTGAAATCTTTGAGTCATATGAGATGACCAAAACTACGCAAGTAAACAGTTTAACCTAATAGAACAAAATAATTAAAGAAATCTCTAAAAATTTCCTCTCATTCCTATTAATCCTTAATTCTACATCCCACTCAAACCAAATGAACATACCATCCTTTTGAACAACTATGATACTCTAAGTTCCATTTGCTTCTATTCAAATGAAAGTCGACACACCAAAATTCCATAATCTTTTTCATGAAAATTGAATTATTTCTAGTATTAAGCCAAAGTTATCATTCTTGTCGAGTTACTTAAATGCCATGCAATACATTACAATTTTTAAATTAGTCAAGATATCTACCTATCCATTTGCTCCATCTTGAAACATTTATCTCTCTCAAAAACTTTATATCCTTATTTTTTTATGACAATTTTGCTAAAATCTTGTATAAAGTAAATGAAAGTTTATATAATAAACACTAAAAAAGAAGTTATCTATAAATATGAGATTAAAATTAAAATCTCTCTACTTATCAAAGCGCCCTAAATTATTCTTCCCTCAAAATCTTTTCTTTAAATTTTCTGAATCTTATACCCTATTTTAATTACTCCTGTAAAAGATACACCCTATCCTTATTCCTTATACAAGTAATCCGTGCTCTCCAACTAAAAGTTATTCATTAATATATAAGTCCTCAAATATCTTTAGAATATTAGCAGTTTCTTCAATTATAACTCTTACTAATCACAATTCAACATCTAATAAATTTCATGTAAAATATTTTTATTTAAATATATTGAGGAAATTCTTTAAAATTTATGTTATGTTATTGTAAAAATATAATCTATAATAAACTACATAACAGAACTCAGCAGGTGATTTTTATCAAAGGGATAATCCTCATTATTTGTTCAACATTCATTTTGTAAATATATTAACAATATTTTATTTATTTTGATTTATAATTGTCATTCTTCTCTATATTTTCTAATTTATATTTCTTCAGATTAATCATCCCAAGTAATAAAATACTCTCCATCATCACTCAATTAACCAAATAATGTATTTGTATTAAATTGAATAGATTACTCAACTTTAAATTCATCTTTTTCTGTCTTTCTTATAAAATTGACATATTTATCATGTTTATTCACTAATATCTATTTTTATTTAATAAATTATTATGGAAATAATGAAGAACTATCATTACCTTAATTTACAGTAATATCTTTTGTCTTAGTGAACTATTTACTTACACTATTCATCTCATAGACATGCATTAAATTACCATTACAAGGTTAAAATGTAAATAGATTATTGTTGATAAAGCATAATCGATATCCATAACAATCAACATTTATATTTTATATAACAATCCACCTTTTACTTTATTCAGAATATTCAATTACTAATATTTTATTATCACTTCCACAAGAAATAACTTTATCTTGTTAATCATTTAAACTTATTTAATAAACACTACTAGTATGATCAGTAATTGTTTATTAACAGTTCCATTCATTTTATTTAATCCAAAATTTAATAGTTTTATCACCACTACTAGATATAATAAGATCTTCATTCTTATTCAAAATTAAACAATTAATATAAGAACTATGTCCATTAATTG